TGATGACGTCACTTATTGCAAATAGAGCCTTATGTGAAAAAGGATTTTTGTGACGTCATCAAACACTTAATCTTAAGAGGAATTGCAGGAACCACAGACGTCTGATAAAAAAAGGAAAGGTGTAAATTGATGCTATAAGTAAATACCCATGAAAAGTTTAGCAAACCTGTTTACAATCCCTTTAAAGCATGAAGCTACCACTCTTATGACCTGTAACCTTTTGATTATGGCTTTGTGGGGTTATCCAAGTAAGCAATGAAGTATGGATCATTTGGAATGCGTTATGATAAAAAAGAGAACATTTTCTGAATTATTTAATAAATTGTTATTTGCATATTTCAGAAGAGTTCAAAATTAGCTGCTGGAACCCTGTTATGCTGTTGCAATTAAAACCGAATATCCTTTACAAAAATTTGAATTAATTTCAATGAAAGCCAATACTTATATATAACAAAACACAAGACAATATTATGGAATATAACACACTTCTTTAATAAGGTTGGGCACATAACGTCTATCTATTGTCCCTCTTAACCTCTATATTGTTTCTTGTTGGTATATATTTTGTTATGTTTTATTCTCTTGCCATTACATCTGATGACGACATGTGTATATTGTGTGGAAACGTCATGTGCCCAACTTTGTTATATTCCATAATATTGTCTTGTGTTTTTGTTATATGTGCTCCTCGCTTCTATATGTCGTTCAAATCTTATATCAATACTTATATAAGTAGAAACAGATTTGAGGAAGTATTGTGATCTGTCTCATTTATAAGATATCAGTGTCGCCGCATTTATCCGTTTGCCTTTAATCCAGAAACCACGAAAGCCGCACGGTTTTTACTTGGAACTGAATATTTATTCAAATCAATTTGAGTAATTCACTTACCAGGTGGAACTATACTAAAAATCATTGAAATTATGTCTGACCCGTGAACTTAATTTTATATGGGGTGGCTGGAAATAAAAAAACTAATAAATAACATTGTAATATAACTGATTTTATTCAAAAACAAAATTTACAGGCATTTATATAAACAATATATAGACACATCTTTGTGGAACAAGAGTCTCTGGTTAAAGGTTTATGCAACGTTTCGATGTTTTTCTCACGATCGTCTTGTCATATGATAAACGTGTCGATACGTTGAATGAAGCTTGTACAAGTGATTATAGTTTCACAAAGCTGTGTCGTTCTTACAACTACTAAATATCATTTAAAAGCTTTAAACCCGAACAAATTAACTCTTGAACTTGCAGTTTAAAACGATAATATCAGCTAGTCTTTTGGGAATCAAACTTGAAAAGATCACGAGTTAGGTTTGATATTAAATTTATTTAAACCTCTAGCCATCAAACTAGTAAAACTTTCTTTACATAGCCTATTTGTCGTGACATGTAGCGAGATTGTTTTAGATGGGTGCTTCGTTTTCGATACTCTATTATGCATATGATCATTATAAAACAGTTTTTAATTAACCGTATGCAATTTTATGGATAACAGTTCATTTGGCTAGTTATTCAAGTAGCAGTTGTTAGTCCCTTCAAATTTACAACAAGCCTTATTCTGTATTGTTTCAACCAGAAAATGATTTGAAGATCCACATGTATCAGAAAATAAACGTGAACATTTACATATTCAAATTCGAAATAAAATATCCATTCTCATACCATAACGATAACCAGTTGCGTATGTTTGCAAAGAATGAAAATGGAGGTTGCACGGGAGATGTGTTTGAAACTTGAGCGCTATCCTTATTCGCAACCATAGGCAACTGGTGATCGTTATTGAAATGGGGGCTTTAATTTTCACAATTCTAGCAAACCAATAGAACCAAGCATGCTACAAATTTGTACGGAATTTAGCATTTACCGTCGTCTGGATTTAATCGTCTAAATATTCAAACCTATTGGTGGAGTTCAACTTCGACAATCCATTTTATTTGAACCCGACAACCGTTTATCTTTAAATTTAACAAAATATTAAATAAATTCAACGACGGGCTTTTAATTCTGGAAATGCTGGGGATAGCGGAAATCTCTCTCCATCAGGTGGTTCAGAAAAAAACTGTATACCTTATCCATAAAGACAACTAAATAAAAGAAGTAGTTGAAATATATTATGTTAATAAATATACATTCAAATATACAAAATAAACAAACATAAACTACCTCTCTGCAATATATACACTTTTAGAACCATGCTTAGAACAATTAATAATAATAATAATAATATTTATCCTCACAAACACACTGATATAACGTAAAAAATATTTAAAATCCGTCATTGATATGGGCGAGAGCAAGGAACTTAAATAAATTAGAGGCGGCACGAGCCTATAATGTTGATAAAACCTCCTTGGACGAGAGTAAAATTGTCTAAACGACTTATATTTTTGTTTATGAAATAGCTAACCTGATATGACATCCTTCTCTTTAATCTGACCTCAGATTTTGTCATTGTACCTGATTGTAATTTTGTTGAAACGTTGTGTAAAATTATTAAAGTTTGAGCATTTTGTGGATCTGTTTCTTTGAACGTATTCAGCCAATACGGACAAACCTTTGATAAAATAGAATTCAAAATGTAAGTTTAATCACTTAAATGAATAGGGAATTTAAAGGGGTATAGAAGGGGGTTATCAAGCCTAAGAAGTTGTTTTGTAACACGCATTCGCATCATCCTATTTCCCGTTCTACGTCTGTGGTTAGTGTATTCCTTATGACAGCACTGTTTATCTATGCTATTACTGTAAGAGGACTCGATGGTAAACAACGCCTCATTTGTATCTGACGTACAATAGAAAACCGAAATAGTACAAATATATGTTATTAAAGCATCCTCTTCCACCTTTTTGTATCTTTATTACGGAAAGCACGCTTTAAATATTCGATACTCTAAATGCAAAGTAAGAACATAACTTTCGATTAGAAATTGAAAAAAAATCCTAGAATAAATGAAAAGACATAAAATCGAAGTAAAAAACAATTGATTTGAAAAAATAGATTGTTTGTTCAAAGATAAAACTCGGATAAAATATCGACTCGTTCTTGAGTATAAAAGGATATCAATTGTTAAAGATGGATGCATGCATTTTTTGGTCACCTAACTTTCAGTAAGTGCCCATATCGTATATTTACTTCAGGAAACCCGAACAGTGTAATTACAAGTTTTTGATCAAGCCAGTCACTGCAGAAGTCCATGACCCCAATTAGCACAGTCAATTAATTAACAAGGCCGTAAATCACATAGCGGAGAGGACGCAGCTGTCTTCTCCAACTTTAACAAGCAAAACACTTCGTGGCGGCTCCAAAGTGGGTGTGGGGGTTTGCATAGTTCCCCCTTAAGAACCAAGACTTCAAAAAAAAAAACTGTGCCAATATGCATTTTGTATTTGTAAAAAAAGTAATAACATAGAAAGAATACTCTTTCAAATTGCATAAAATGCAGAATTTTAGCCCTTAATTTTTTCCGATTTTTTCTCCTGCCCCTTCTAGAATGGACTTTTGCGGTGGCCTCTTCCGATCCAAAGTTCTGCAGCCACCACTGGAAATACGATTTCGGATTTGTCAAGAAGTAAAGAGTTTGTACCTTTAACTCTCGGCTTCAAAGGGCCAGGCCTTCTTTGAAGAAATGCCTCCTCCAAACACCACTCCTTAACGGTCCTGATTAATGACTGCACTGGACTCATATCACCTGAGCCGTGCTGCGTATTTTGACAAACTTTTAAGTATGTACTAAATATATATCCCTCTAAAGATTTCCCAAAGATAATAATAATCCAGAAAAATTACGATAAAAATAACATTTGAATAAATTATTGCACAAAAATAACAACAGCAATTCTATAATATTCGATAACGGAATAATACTATCATTCATTACGTATCAGGATTTCTTCAGATTTCTAGATTGGATTGGTGCAGAATTAATCCCATGTCGTGGTTTAGCACATGTCATGAACTAGCACATGTCGTTGAGAAGCAGATGTCGTGGAGCACACTATTACGCCAGATAGCGAAAGCTTGAACGAATTTGGTGGAGTATTATTATGATAAAGTCTGATAAGAATACATTACTAGCCCAAAGTATTATTTTACTTTGAAATTACCCACTTCTGAAGACCTTTTCTGATGTTGTCACTCAAGAGAGACCACCGATTCAGATTATATCGAAAATCCGCAAATCAGTTGGCACAGTCCATAAGCTGATAAAGGTACAACAGCCGAACAGTTTCATAAAATATCAAGGTTGATAAAAAGCGTATTGACGTCTGTCTGTGCGTACCATTTGTCATGTGTAGAAAATCAATTCGTTCACCAGAATATCCTAATACATGTAAACTTATAATCTCCATAGAATTCTGCTGGAATTATGAATCAAAGTTGACAAAGATCCAAGGATCAAAATACTCTGCCAGTGCCATAATACACATTGACACATTCAAATATGGTAGAACTGTGTCCTTTGTGCAACCATATCCTTGCGTTTAGACCCAAAGAATATAGAATTCTTTCATTGTGCTTTCAAATTGACAGATTAGATCCAAAACGTAGAATTATAATCACGGTAACATCGAAATCTTTCGTTTAGATCCAAAAATTAGTCGAATTAGTCTTTGTGCATCCAAATCGACACTATAAGATCCAACCATGCAGAATTGTTTGCCCATCCAAATCGTTGATTTAGATCCACCAATTATAGTATTCTGTCGTAGTGCATCCAAATTGACACAAGATCCAAAAATTGTAGAATTGTGTATCAAAATAATAGATCCAAAAATCATATTATTCTGCTTCCAAATACTTGCGTTTAAATCCAAAACAAGTAGAATTCTGCTATGATAAAACCCATACGCTCACATATTGATTTGAGCTTTCTGCAAACTCATTCAGTTCCAGCTTGCTTGACGGAATCCAAGACACATTCCAAAAAAATCGTATCCTCTGTACAACTCCGTCCTGAATCCAACAAGTTATATTTAACATTGATTGTTATCATGAGTTTTTCATGCCTTTGATTAAGTTTTCCAGAATAAATTTGATGGTAATTTTATAGATGGAGTCCATATTGTCTGTGTATCTATCACCTAAAGTCAGTTTTACTGAATCTAAGAAAGGTTGCTCAATTTCCTGAAAGAAAAACAGAATTGCGGATTAATAGAACGAAAGTAAAGAGCAACACACAGATTTGGCGACCAAACGATTTTACCAACAAGCCTTCAATGAGTACCAAAACCCTGCGAAATATTAATGCCGAGAATTTTGCCGAAGTCATACGGGGATTAATTCTCAATTGAATAAGCTGTAACTGGGTGAGAGTAATTCTGATAATAAAGGGTTGGCCAAGACCTGACTGACAGAAAGGGTCCGCGAGATCACAAAAGTTCACCTTTTTCAACTTTATGAGGGCAGGTGTCAAGTCAGTAGGTGAAAGTGAAAAGTGAAGCACGTTTGAGACTGACCTCTGTGAATAAAAACTTTCGGAGGTCAGAATGTGTTATCGGCTAGTGTCGGACCGACCCTTTCTACTTTCAGAGTCAGCAAGTATCGGATTAATTATATCCCAGACGAACCAAATGATTTACAAATGGCTTAATATCTATATGAAAACACACAGCGGAATAATATGAACTGATAAAAGAGGAAGGCTATCAGACAATTTACCACGAAGAAAATCTACTATATTATACAATATAATCACAGTAACCGAGTGAACTCGCTGCAATTGATGTGAGAAGACAAACATCATACAGTAATAATTACTATATATTACATATATGAGCTCATCTTAATCGATTACTCGTTACACCTTTGCACCATCGAGTGAAGTATCCGTTAAAGGGATAGTAAAGAAGGGACACTGATAGCATCAATTTGCACCATTCCAATTTTCATTTCGTCGTCTGTGGTTCTTGCAATTCCACTTACGCGTTTTATGACGTCACTTGAGGGAACTGCAAAATATAAATGGTAGCTTTCGATAGCTCCTTTCTAGTGACGTCATAAAAAGCGCTAGTTTTAGTGGAATTGCAAGAACCACAGACGTCGGAATGAAAGTTGGAATGGTGCAAATTTAAGCTATCAGTATTCCCGATACACATAAAAAAATTTAGAAAATCTCTTTACAATACCTTTAAAAGATACATAACTCGATGGTTTTACATTTTTAACAAATTTCGCATCATTGAGGTCGTTAAGATTAATATTAAGAGCACCCCTCCATCTAAATCATTCGTAGAAAAGCCACGAGCCCGTGAATCCTTGATAACCTTTGTGTGATACATCTGTTCTATGGAGTAACTCAAGCGCAATATACAATTAAACAAACTTTGAGGAACCATCCCGCTTCCTCCCTCCCGATCTCTGCCTTGACCACAGTTAACCCAATCCATCCGATAGACTTACCCAAAATAATTCTGCCGTGAAGCCTTGATATCCTTTGTGTGATGCCCCTGTTCTATGAAGTAACTCTAATGTGATGTCCACGCTGTCTATGTTATTGATGCTATCGTCCAATATACTCATCACCTTGCTGGCATGTTTTTCCAAAACTTCACTCATCCGCAACTCGTCTGTCGTCTTCAGATCCCGTAACTCACGAAATAACTGCTGAACTCCCGAATTATTCTTAAACATTCTGTAAAAAAACGATAATCAGAACTTTTAAAACCAATAAATGTCAAAAATAATATCTCCTTTGATTCTGGAAAGGATAATAGACACTAAATAAATTTCACTCTGAAAACTAACATAACATATAAAACATCATTTAAATTAATGTACAATCAATAAAAATAATAAAAGCCATTCAAATAACATAGTGGTGGCAACAACCCCTTTTGAGCAACACATTAAAGGTACAGGTAGGCCATTTATACTTTAGTCTCAGCAACTGGAATTGCTTAGCTAAGCCAATCAGTAATAGTGATCGCATCTCACCGTCGAAATTTGAGCCTTCAAATCCATGTGTGTCCAGTATTATCTGCGTTTTAATGTTAAAATGACGACTCGTCAATTTAAGATGCTCTGTGCTATACAGAAAATACATATATAGAAATAATGAATAAACTTCCTAGTTAGGAGTATTTTATGAATTAGGTGATTTTCGTACATTCTAGTACTTCTGAAGACTATTTACATATATTTACGATTAAAATCAACCCCCCAAATGTCCCTTTACTTAAGCTGTGAAGCTTAAAATTCAGTTTCCAGAAAAAAAAGCTAGCCATCAAAAAGGTTTAAGGGGATTCAGCAAAAATAATTGAAACATAACTCAATCCATGCAAGAGCAAGACAACGGTAAGTTAAGTAAAATAATTAAAGTATGAAAAAAAAACGCCAACGATATGAACGAAATGCTACAAAAAGCGTAAAAAAGACAAGTAATTATTTTCTTGAAAAATAGAGGCAATCTATTAATATCTAATTCTGAAGATATTCATTAAAATACAGCTACGTGAATACCTTGAGATTTTGTTTCGAATGTGGTCCGTGCTTGTGTTGGTAAATAAGCAAAATTTATTGGGTGATTTTATCAAATGGAGTCAATTTTCTAAAGAAACGATTCCATAAAAAATACATTTGTTAATTTTATTATTCCGTTTTATTGGTGTGAAGAGGACTCCATATAAAAGATATCTATAATATACTTTGTTTCGTGGTTTTGTTCGTGCCGTCAATAAGAAGAGGTTATCAATGATCTACTCTGTGAAGGAATCTGTAACATTTTAAAGCTATCGATCGGTTGTCTGGAATTAATACTTGTATATTGTGTATCTTCGCGGCTTAGATTAGTTTCTTGTCTCTCTCTAGGGACAGAAAGGAGAATGATACTAGATTATAAAGCACATCCCAGTATATCATCAGTCGATTTGACATCAGATATACTGTATTCCATTTTTGCTTTAGATATAAAAATTTAGCAGTGTGAACGGACGATAAGATTAATAGGAGGAGTATTGGGGTGGGAATAGACGACGAACAGTGTGCCCAGGCCCGTATATCATGTATTCGCAGTTCTTACGGTCATTTTTGGCGTTGGGTATACCGTAGCCTACTTTAATTCAAGTTATTGAAGACGATATTATAGATGCTAAATATTTGGAAGGTTGGACAGGGTGTTCCATGCGTTGTCCTTTATTGTTACCACAGCATTTCCTGCTATGAAATCGTACCGACATTTTGCCCACAGGTCGTTAAGATTCACCCAACTACGAAATAATAAACCAAAGATTAGCAGAACACATATTTTTACTGTATTGCATAGAATATATTGATGGGGACAAAACAAATGATCCGTATAATATATAATTTGTTGTTGTGGTCTGGAGGTAGGTTGGTTATGAATTGTTATAGAAACTGCGTCATTTCCGGTTAACTCTTTCTGGAATTGCAGGGACACAGGCATCGGACGAAGAATTGGAATGCCCAAAATGTAGTCAAAGATGTCCCCGATACACATAAAAAGGCTAGAAAACCTCTTTACTATATCCCTTTGAGAAGAGCTTTAGCATTGAAACGACTCGTTCTTGTAGTGTATTGTATATGAAATATACATTTATGATATAATCGATATAACTATCTGGAAATATCAATACAGGAAGACTACGTGTGAGGGACGCATTTCCTTGATCTCCATGATCTGGAGTAAAGTTTCACAGCCTGTCGTTCACACCACATCACCTATTATAAAGGTTGTCTACTGAAGTGAAAGAAAATCTGAAAACTCATCAACGAATCGCGACCTTTCACGAGCAATTCAACAGTTTTCTCAACCTAACGAGTTGAGAAGTATTTGATTCTTCACTCTATAATCAATATATTTTACTGACGCGATATTTTCGTGTTTTATCATGCAATATTTCTATTTTAGGACTTCTTAAGGCGGAAATGTCATTGCATGAGAAGGAGAGGGATAGAATTAAATTGAGGTTTACTCTTCTGCTCCTGATACGGGCTAATGAAACCGTCCAACGACATGCAGTATGTAATACGATATTTTAACTGGGAAAAGTCATTTTCGATTTCTAAGTTTTGAGAAATCTAGATCATACACAATCCAAAAAGAAACTGGGGCCTCGGTTTAATGCTTTAATGTGTTGAATTTAAGATTGCAATAGTCGAATTTGTATTCGGGAAATATTGTCCACGACTCTTCTCAAGCACCTTTCAAGCATTAATTAAAAAAGTCTTTAATGAACTAGATTCAGGACAAGTTAAATTAACTATAACCAGACCACACCCAATTTATATTGACAGAATGCCACCACAATAGTTAAAGAGAGGGTATGGTCAGTTTAAAACAAAAACAGGAATTGTGACTCGATTATGTCTCCAAGTGTTCAACATCAGATGAGATTTGTTATAATTGTAATACATATGTATGTAGCAGCAGGTGTTAAAGAAAAGGGTTCTGTTCTGATATAAATATTTAAAACTATACTCTATAAAATAGTACTCACTATATCTTTAATATTGACAGTTTGAGACCATAAAGATTTATATAATGGTTGATATTGATTGGTCATTATGGACTGTTAATTATTGATTAATAATCAATACCAGTTCACTTTACTTCATTATACTTCTGATAACAGTTTTAACTCTATATCCTGGGTTAAACCAATCATTCCAAGTCCTAGCCTTGCCCTAAACCATTTTGAACTGTAGCTTTGTTGTTTGTTGTAAAAGTAGTCTGGACTGGAAACAAAACATGTCATCGCCAATCAAGCTTGTCTACAGAATCCTCCTTCACCTGACATGCTTACGCTTCTTCTTGCTTTATTCTTACATAAGCTAAATGCCGACTCCCAAAAAAGCAATAAAGTCCTTTAGTTCCTCTGCCAAGTTGAATCCTCGTATTCCCAGCATGCTAACAATTCTAATTGCTTTATCCTGACATTCCATGAACAGTCATAAAGACCTTGAATCCCCGGAGTATTACGTAATTAATTGTTAATATGCTTCTCATGTAAAATCGAGTTCGTTGGTAACCAAGGTTTAAAACCAATACAGTTTTAATCAAAAATTCTTAATTACTGTCAGTTCAATTAAAATCGGTTTATTGTAACTCTTTAATATCATTGAATTGGTTTCTCTAACATATACCCGACATAGGATAATACCTTCAGATATTTCAACACGGTTTCCCCCTGTCAGTGATGCAGGTAAGCGGGGCTGAGATGAAAAAACAGGTGGTGCACTTCAAAGATCCCTTTTTGTAAATCAAAAAGAGCAGGCTAATGCTGTCCTGGCAAAATTTTCCATTAGTCACATGGCGCATATAAGTAAGAAATAAAACTCCATTCATTTTATTTAATTTAGTTTTTCTATCATAAACTTGCGACCAACCAAAGAATCAAACTTCAGTGCAACTCATTCTCAGTATCACGTAGGAATCTAGTGAATAGAAGCAGCATTTCGATCGATTTTTATAACTGCACATTTCAACAACATAGCTGTAATTTGCAATAAAATTTGAGATTTACGTAGGCGAAATGACGAAATACGCTCTCACTTAAAGTATGGTGTTTTATGATCAAAATTGAAAAGTGGAGAAAAAATCACGCCATTCTCTTTAAAAATCGTTAAATTGTTCGGGATCAGAAAACTAAAAGAAACTATTTTATTCAAAGATAATAAATATAATTTCTGTGTGCAGTTGTCTGAAAATCTTCCAACGCAAATTGATTCAATGTCTTTTTAAATTGAATAGTTGACTGCCTTCAAGATTGATTTTCCGTGCTTATTACATCACTCAACAAATACAAACTCTGTCAAGGTGAAGTAACGGTTAAATGACGCGAGAGGTTGGTCTGCAAACATATTAGTAATACTAGTGTTATTAGTCTACATTCATGAGATTAGCCTAGACGACTCACTAATCGCAAAACAAAAACCATCTTGTTGTAAATAGGTTTTATGCCAGCAATTTGCTCAGTTATGTGTTAAATTGAATATATAAAATAATTTACTTTATTCATAAATCTGAACGGACTGAAATTTCACAATGCTTTAGAAATGGTAAAAAAATATGGCGTATTATGTACTGTTTCAAATTAGTGCTAGAGGTTGTATTCACAGAGCAGTCAACTGTTGTATCATTCAGAATACAGGGCCCCGTTTCTCAAAAATATCTAACAATAAGAATTGATATTTTACATTGGTATTGGTATCATACTTATAACAAAACCAGTCGTAAAATTTGTTTTGAATAGGGATACAGGAACCTAAACTATGTGTTCTTTTAAATGTGTTTTGTCATATTCTAATCAAATAATGTTAATACTAAGATAACCAAGAGACGAAAGAACTGTGGTAGACAGACGTACTACGAGGAAGAAAGGAAATCCATCGAGAATATAGCTGAAGGAAAAGGAAGACCACAGCGGATGAGAAATCATTAAGAAAATTGAATGACATTTGTGAAGAGAATCATTAATGAAAAAATATGAATTCACCAAGTCATTCACGTGCCAATATCAGATAGCATCTAGCACGCGCTGGTCATTTCAATTAATAACCCCCCCCCCCCCCACTAGCGAGGAATCGGTAATTAGCTAAGTGCTTCGTCGTTGGACTGAAGGATGAATGTACTTTATGATGAGGGAATTTATCCCAAAGATCATCGTCTTAGA